TGCTCGATCAAGTGTGTTCGCCCTAACCCTTCTTTCTCGTACGAGGGAAATTTAGCAATCACATAATCGAGAATGTCCTTCTGAGTGGGGTTCAAGACATGCATATTTGGAATTTCTTCGGTCTGATCATAACCGATGTCGAGTTCGGATACTCGTTCCCCAGGTTTCAGGATGTGAGTCAATAAACCAAATGACTGCCAAAAATCTATACCCAAATATACGTCTTGTTTAAGATCTGGTATTATATAAAATTCAATGGGCTTTGTCCTGCCACGATATGTCACTTCCGATGTAAGTTTGCCAATCACCGAACACTCTGAGTTGTTAGCCGTTTTAATATTGCCTGAACATTTTTGGCATTTCGGACTAAATCTGAGTTCGCTAGCCGCTTGATTGCCTATGCAACTAATTGTAGCACCGGAATCCAAAAGAGCGATATATTCTTTGTTCTCCAAAGTAAGTTCGGTAAATAGGCGATTATCTGAGCTTAGGAAAATTGCGGAAATAAGTCTTTTCCGGGTACAACGAATCTTTTTCCAAAAAGTTCTAAGTCGAAGAGTTGAGCGTCTTGGCTTAAGGTTCCAGTTCATACCGTTCACCTGAGCGAAATTGCGTTGTCGCGCTGCTGCGTACTTGGCTAACCTTATATGGAAAGGTAAAAATTGGTTTGCACTCGAATGTGAATTAGATGAGTTGCGTGCGACTGGAGTATTCAATTCCATGGGCTGATCGGCCCCAGTCTGCAAGCGACCAGCTGGGCTTAATGCCTCGGATGCGACAGGAAGTTGTGGGCCTGCGCATCCGCATGCTGGTTTTCCGACGGGTTACAAGTCGGACACAGGGGCTTGAAAATGTTTTTGGCACCACAGCCAAAACAAAATATTTTCCGTTGCTCTAAACAGTCATCAAAACGATGTCCTGGCTTATCACAATTCCAACACACTAAGGGTTTACGTTGAATAGCTGATACATCCTCATTCAAAAGCTCTTGAGCTGGAACTTCTAGCTCTGCTACACGAGAACGGTGCTCAAATTTTCCTCTTGCAGTACTCGATCGGACTTGTTTGTAGAATTGCTCATGAGTACGTATTTCTTCCCTAAGCCTAGCCAAGGTGGTAATACCAAGATGCATGAGCTCATAACGCAAAGAAGTTTTAGCGTTATGAATCAGAATACGGACAAGAGAACGCTCTGAAATGTCCTTGCGCAATCGACCTATGAGTTTCTCCACTGCGAATTGGAAGTCTTCGAAAGATTCTTGCTCGCCTTGCCGACGCGAATTGATCATTTCCCAAACATCCATATCGTCATCTATGTCGTCGAATTTCTTTCGAAATTCTACACAAAATTCTTCCCAAGTAAATTGAGGATTGGAACGATGGAATCGCCAAAACCAATCGTTGGCTCTCCCAACGAATAGCATGTATAAATGGTCACATAAAAGTTGGTAGTTTCCATTCAAGTTTTGAACAGCAAGTGAACGAACTCTGTACAAGAAATCTTGGGCCTGCATACTATCTTTGCCACCATCAAACCTTATATGCCAGCTTTGTATTATGCTGGACACCTTCTGAATAGGGATAGAAGAATTCGATAAATTCAAAATGTTTGCTCCGTCAGGATTACGATGAACCGAAGCCAACTGGGTTACTTCACCAGGACGTCTAAACCTAGTCCTTTCTTCACTCTGTTGTTCGCTCGGCTCACTACGGCCTATCTGTAGTGCCGCTAGTTGCGCACGTATTGTTTTTTCAATTGTGTCCGCCATAACTGAATTAATGGTCTGAATCATTTGATTCTGACTCGACTGTATGGCCGTTTGTACCAAATTTGCTACTTCTACGCGATCTATAGCCCTGCCTTCTGTAGTATATAAATTATCGGGTAATGCATCTCCTTGCACACGACTCATAGATCGAGTTTGCACGCCCCGCCTTGGAGTTGCTCCTCTATTTCTTGAAGCTCTAAAAGTGCCGTGTGCCTGGGAAAGTACTTCCGTAGCCACGTTAGCTTGAGTACCACTGCTACCACTGGCTTCTTGAAGTTCCACTGCCAAATTGTTATTTATGTAAGTCAGTTGTTCTACAGAACAGACTCGCTTGCACACTGGACAAATCGATGACGCTTGAAGACATTCCACTATACATCGATTATGAAATTTGTGTTCGCAAGGTGCAATTGCCACTAATTCGTTTTCACGAATGGTTTCCTGACAAATGCCACAAAAGGGGTCTAAATCTTGTAAAGACTGCGCTAAGTTTTCGTTACTATGTTGCACAGCCATTATTATACTAATAAATACAAATTTCTGATTAAAAAAAGACAATCAAAACTTTTGGTCCACCACTTACTAGATATCAAAACCATAGCCAAAAAAAAGGACAATCTAATCTACAAAAGTTTTCGTCTGCCTTATCTACTATTGCAATTAATGAATTCTATTGTTTACTTGCGATAAGACTGAACAGTGATGTTGGTCAGACCACCAAAGTATCTCTAGCGATCTGCAATTCCAGCCATCAAAACTCACATCAAATGCAAGCTTAGTTTAGATATTATACATTTTCAGCGTGAGAGTTCTCGGAGAACAGATTCGCTCTGGTCGACCAATCCGAAACCACCGAATTGCAATCGCAGTTCCAAGAGACGAGGTTCTGAGCTCCCAAACCACTACGCTGTAGACATATAAATCTACTGAACATTCAAAATTGTGAAACTATATTGGATGGAATATAAGAGCATTCAGCCTAGATGGCTTTCGGGTATCTATCTTTCGGGCATCATCTATTCGGACGGCACCACCTGTTGAGAACTGGTGTTGCTTTTGGGTGCCAGCGGTCATGCCAGCTGACAGCGATGAGCCCCACGTTGGGCGCCACTTGTGTAGTGTGCGGGATGTGTTGTTATTGTTCTAAGCAAGCCCCTAAATTTGGGAGCTACTGGTGAAGAGGGAGCGGGTGAACGAGTGTGCTCTACCTTCTCTCACGGTGCTATGGAGGATTCGAGGCGTGCACTTCTTGCGTTGCTCTAACTTAGCTCGTCGGACGGGGTGGGGTTCTTTCTCCTCCTTACCATAGCGGACACACCACTACAAGAAAATAAGTGCACTAAACAGAAACTAGCAAAACGAACAATGGAGTATTTAGATTTGTTCCCACAATCAGGACAGAATCGGACAAACAGACTAATGTAGAGTACATTGATTCTAGGGTATTAGATGTAGGTATACCCTATTCTGTACCCACCCTACCTTGGCATACCGGAAATAAGAATAATGGTCGGTAGCCCCTATAGCAAATTGATCTTACTTTAAGTTTGGGTTTGGCGATGACATCTTGATTAGTGATGGACCAGCGAAAGGAAATTTACGAATTCATATCAAAGTTAAAGGTATATAATTTATAGTTCAAAAACATTCTCTTATATATATATATATAGGTATATATACTAAATAGTTTGCAGCACATCAGTATCTACCGTATGTAACATTCCAAGAAAAAAGGCTCATATGTACATTATTCAAAAAAAACATTAGAGAAAATTCATTTAAATTTCAACATAAGAAGTGGAATCGAACGTAAATTGGAAATAAGGTCAGATTTGAAAGTATGATGTCAAAAGATCAAATAAAAATGCAAATCACTTACCATGCACTGCCGTCGTTGAGCTCAAGAGGACTTGCTGGCACAAAAAAAATGTTAATGATCTTAAACTACATACATACTTCCTAACTTTAACCTTGTAGTGAGGCGAAATTTAGGTTCGATTACAAAAAAACTAAAGGAAGTTAAACTAAATCATTATTTAAAAATAAAAAAAACAAAACTAATTTTTATAGACGATATGATGCTTAGCATTAGATCCATTACAGCATCATGGTCGCCGCCAGTAACTTTTAGTGGCTTTTTGTGTCGCAGCACAAATTTAATACGATTTATATGGCCACGTTTCTGCCTCAAAGAAAAACTAACATAGAGTAGTATGTATGGGCCTAACACATAGTGGGGAATCTAGCAGCTTGTCTTTGGAGTGGCAATGCGGAGTCCGTTCTTCGGAATCTGGTCACATAAAATGCTTGCAGTCGTCTATGAAAATAGTGCAGCCATCAAAGGAAACAAGCGTGGAGAGTTTCCGAGGCACTAATACTTGGTCCAGCAAAAAGGGTTTCCCAAGCACGGTATATTATTATGTCCGATTTTAAATCAGCCAAAATGGGTTTCCAGGCACGAGACAGGTGCTCTGCCAAAAGGTTTCAAATCCAGCAAAAAAGGTTTTAGTGGCCCAGCCAAAGGGGCACAGGCGCGAAGCACTGTGAATAAAAGAATTCACTTGACTTTTCTGGCCGACTTGAAAAAACTTCCCTTACCTGGCCAAAATTCACAAACTGCACAATACTGTTCTTCCGAATGCTCTGTTCCTCAGCTTAAATAAACAGGAACCACTTGCACTTAGATGTTGTGTAACAAGAACATGCGCTTTAACTTTTTAAATATATGTGTATGGTATACACGCACAAAAGAAATATTCGTCAGCACTGCTCAAAAGTCGCTGTACTAATGTTCGATCGGCGCGCCGCTAGTTAGCGTGAAGCTGCACTTAGCCGAAGCCGAACTTACTAAATCAACAACAATGCTATGCATATGCGTGGGTGCAATAATAAGATAAGTAACAACGGCATAATCATACGATGCTACGGCTGCTTATCCAAGGTGACCTAAGAGCGCGATAACGTTTGCTAAAAATAAATGCAACACTTGTAAAAGCTTGCTAGACCACCAGCCCAGTAGGAAACTGGACACTACAACGTATAGTTTAAAAAACTCACCAAGACATCTTTTTAATACTTAAATGTTTTTAAACGGTTCCTTTTAATTTCACAATTGGAGTCAAATCATGCTAACTTAACCAATTTATAAATATTTGCGTAATAGAATTTTATTAAAAAAAAAAAAATTTTTTTTCATTAAACAATATATTTAAATTGATGTTCGCACCTCGACTTAATTGACTTCAAAAAGACAACTTTCATTGGAAGCTGCAGTGCACTCCAAGGCCTGCTGATCAAATATCGTGCCCTCGGCACAATCGACCGGATAAGGTATTGGATAATCGCATACTATATATCGACTGCAATTATTAGGATATGGCAGTCGAGTGCCTAAGGTATGTCCACAGCATATATTTGGGGTATCGGGGGGTATGGTTGCAGCTGTAGACGCCGGTGTACTGGGAGTTGTAGCCGTCGATTCGGTACTACTGGGCCTAGATTCTGGAGTAGATTCGGGTGGAATTGATGTTGTAGTTTTCGTACTAGGGGTTGGGATTGTTATGGCTTGACAGTTAGCCTGTTCTGGCTCCATACACATTAGCTCGGTCGGACTAAACTCTAAGTTATTATAGCAGTCATAGCCGATGGGTATGGGATCAGCGCAGACAATGTATTTGCTGCAATTGTATGGGTATGGGACCAGGGTTCCATCCAATTTACCAGCACAAAGACCACCGGAAGGTGTCTCCGTGGTCGTACTCTCTGTTGTCACCTCTGATGAAGTTGACCCTTCTGTAGTACTGCGTGTCGGCGGCTCTATTGGCGAAGTTTCTGTCGGTTTCGGGGTTGTCGAACCCGCTGTGGGTGGTGTTGGATAGGTGGCAGTCGATGCAGCTGTAGAGCCTTCAGTCGATGTGAACTTGCAGTTGGCTAAGGAGGCTTCCACACATTTGCCCAACTGCTCGCTAAACTCGTCTCCATCGTCGCATTCATAGGCGACAGCTATAGGTCTATCGCATTTTATGTACTTGGTACAGTCATTGGGATAAGGTACCAGAGCACCATCCTCGACATCATCGCAGGGTCCCTTTTGCGGAGGAGGTCGGGTGGCTGGTGTAGTGGATTCCGTAGTGGAGGTGTAATCTTCGCGGCAGGCATCAGGCGGCACATCCGCACCGCAAACCCCTGTCCAAGGATCGTAGTATTCGCCACAATTGCAGACATGCATCATGGGAACATCGTTGACGCAACGAATGAACCATTTGCAGTTGTCGGGATAGGGAAATGTGTCTCGATCACTTTCCGTGCACATTGGAAATTGTGGTGGCGGCCTGGTCGTTGCTGGACTCGGAGTTGTTGCTGTGGTCTCGCCACTGTTTTCACAGTCACTCGCATCCCAGGTGGTACACTCCTGCAGCTCGAGACTGAAGTAGAAGCCGTCGGTGCAGTAGAAGGCAACGGGAATTGGCTGAACACAAACAATATATTTGCTGCAGTCCTTGGGATAATTGATCATCTCACCATTGATCTTATCTCCACAAATCCCATTAGAAGTTGGGGGAGCTGTGGTTGGAACACTCACTGTTGTAGGGCTGGTAGTTGGTTCACTCGTTGTGGGGAGGGTTGTGGTCGTATCAGTTGCCAGATCTTTGCAGGCCGTTGGAGAAACATCTCGCCCGCAATCTCCCGTCTTTGGATCGTACCAAGTATTGGCAATGCAATTAGCAAGGAAGTACGTGCCATTACCCGTACACAGAACGTACTTTTGGCAATCGGCCTCATAGGGATAGGTGTCTCCCAGCACACTATTCACGCACTGTTCATTGGGATTGGGCGTTGTGCGTTGAGTTGTGGGAGTGCTGGCCGTTGTACTGATCTCTGTGGTTACTGGCGATGTGGGTTTCTCGGTGGTGCGGTCTCCATAACACAATACATCATCAGCATTATCGCAGATAAGCAGATCCGGATTGAATACCAGAGGAGTCGAACATTTTTGCATGACCACGTCTTGGTTCATGCACAGAATGAACTCGGCACAGTTGCCTGCATAGGGTAATATCGTGTTGTCCGGCTTATCTAAGCAAATGTTCGGATCAACATCCGAAGGTAAGCCCACAGTTGTGCTTTGTGTTGATGTCGTGGAACTACCAGTTCCAGCACTTGTAGGTTCGGAGTGCGTGGAAGAAACGCTGGAAGGTGTGCTTGTGGGATAGGAGAGGGGATTGCAGACAACAGAGTTGGGAGTATCGCATATGTGTAGTAGGGGATTGAAAAGCTTTTCTGGAATACAGTACTGGATGCCCGTGCAGCCGTTGTGACACGTAATGTAGGCACTGCAATCGTAGGGATACTCATAGAAACCATTTCCCAGGGGCTCGCAATACTGCTCCTCCACACCCTCTGGTGCAGCCCCACACTCTTCCGCCTCAGTTGTCGTCAGTGTCGTCATTGGAGTTGTGGGCGATGGAAGCGGTAGCTCTTCGCACTGAGCCGTATCAGGTGTATCGCATATCAGTAGCAATTGATTAAAAACCTTATCTGGCTCACAGTAATTGAGTACGGGCCAGCCGTGGGTGCAGTTTATGTAGGCGTTGCAATTGTACGGATAGCGATGAACCGACCCATCAGGGAGGTTTGCACAAAACGAGTCCTCAATTCCCGGTGGCGGTGGTGGTGGATCGTAATCCGTCGTCTGCGTAATTTCGGAATCTGAAGAAGATGTGGTCCCTTTGGTTGGTGTGGGCGTAATTTGAGTTGTTGGCCTAGTCGATGGAACAACAGTTAATGGGGTTCCAGTGCTGGCCGTTGGGAGAGAAGTTGTCAGATCGTAGTCAATGCATTTTGTATTCTGTGGATAGTCACAGGTCTTCATTTCGTTATTAAACCAGAGGTCAGCCGGACACCTTTTCACAGTCGGATAGACACAGTCGCATGTCAAATACAAATTGCAATTCCCCGGATACGGCATAAGCTCACCACTCGGCTGACCACGACACATTACTTGGTTTTCATATCTTTCCTCATTTTCACATGTACCCCTGCCAACAAGTTCATTCTCCTCAATGGGTACGGCCTGCAATTGAAGTGCCAAGATCGCACTCACAAGCAGCAAAGACAAAGGAAACGAGCGCCCTACAAGTATAATAAAATTTATACTTTCATTTAAAATATAAGCACATTTAAAAAAATATTTCTACCTTGCATTTTGAATTAATGTCTCTCGAAGCAATGGAATTTAACTAATTTTACAATTCACCTATCTTCATTTCGCGCTTACTTAGTACAACGTTTGGCAAGATACTGAAGAACTAAAAAAGTATTTTATAATGAATGGTTTTTGGCAAATAGTTTATCATATCGGTAAAGCTCTACGCTTGATAATTTGTGAATAATGTGGAAATTTAATTACTTTTCTACGAAAACAGTCTTTGGCTTGTTCATATTTTTGCTTTTTTAGCGATAAGCTATTTCCTATCAAATAAATTTAATGGGTGGTTAGATGTGGCCTTTACATTTCTACAGAAGACTGAATAGTAATTTAAAAAGGCTTATGGAGATAAGAAACGTCTTCTAAAGTGAAACACTCTTGGTTTCTTTCGACCAAACTAAACCAGATATTTCCGCAGATAGAAGAATTAAATATTTCAACAGAAATCGATTCACAGTATCATAATATATTTATGTTTAATTTAATTTTTGAAGACATTTTGAAAAAAAATATCATTTTTTTAAACTCTTTGGAAAAGCAGAGCAGCCAAGGGCGTAAAAATCGAATTAAGTTGATTTTGTTAAAGTTTTTCTGTTGCTCATATGTATAAATTATTAATTTAACGCAATCAATTTTAATTCTTTGGACAAACCTACGTACTCCATCGACAGCAACACTCAAAAATCGAAGACACCAGTGCATATGACAGCCTAAAAACTTGTCTACTTTAAAACAAAATCGTTCTGTCGCTGTCGCACACATTTTTAAAATGCTGCAAGTACTTGGCTTAAAGTTAGATTCCTGATTCATTTTTTCAGGTAAATCGTTTCATATCAGCACGTGTTGACGTGTGTACGTCTTATTGCTCTTGTTATTACACTTATTGTTGTTGTTCCCAGTTTTAATGAGACAACGTGACCTCTGCTGCTGCGAGATTTATGAGCGCACTCGTCGCGTAAATTGCTGAAATAAAAAACGAGCATAAACATAAATGGCGCTAGGAGTTTACGCGGCGCCATTAAAATTAAGCGACAAAACATGAGCTGAAAACAAAACAAAATCAAACAAAAAAAAAGTTAAATTCAGTTCAACAGAAGCATAAATAGTGTGGTTCCTTGGTTTAAAGAGTCGAAAGTTCTCAAATTACTAGAAAGGCATAAGTCCATGAACTACCGATTCAGCCATAAAGTTGCATTAAAATTATTTTTGAAGAAACTTTAAGTTCGGGAACTGCCACGCCACCAACTGTGGCAGCCATTTTGAGGCGGCATGCTGTGAAATAAGTTTCTTTGCATTTTTTCTCTGTAGAAGTGGCCGCTATATCAGCAAAATGGCAGAGTACTTGAAGGCAAATTAAATATAGTATATAAAAAAGGAGAGGGCGAGTGTGCCGAAGAAAACTGCGAAAATTTATGAAAAGTTGTCGGGCTTTATGCTGCACGCTAAAATGCAGTAGTGAGGCAACATCAGCGGGTAGTAGTAGCAGTGCAGTCTGCATACTCGAATGCCATTTGAATTGTGTGCGAGCATGCCACATAATCAGGACAACTGTATTCCGTTTGGGGGCATCAACAATCATTCAGCTTGATCTGTTGGCTGCTGCTGTCAAGCGTTTGATCTGCAACAGATTGAACTATCAATTATACGCTGGCGGACGTGCCAGCATCGGTCGGCTGAATGTGCTGTCTAACATATGGTACGCACACGCACACGCACACACACATAAACACACGTTCACTCACACACATAGACACACAAGGCAGGTGGCAAAGTTAAAATGGACGCTTAGTTACATCTGAGCGCCTGCAGCATGTGGAGCCAGCATCGTGGCCATTGAGCAGCCACATCAAAAGGAAAGCAGCAAGGAAGCGTACGATGTGTGGTACGTGTGCATGCGACCTAAGCTTGCCACACTTGCCATGGTTGTTGCTGTTGTTGTTGTTGCTGTTGTTGCTGCCACTTCTGCTGCCGTTGTTTGTGCTGCATGAAATTGACCCGCGTGCGTGGGAAGCTTCTGTATTTTCCAGTATGTGTGTGTGTGCGTGTGAGTTTACGTATGCATGTGCGCGCTTGCATAAGAAAATTGGTGTGGGAATGGTGGAAGGGGTGGAGGAGGGGAGGGAATACTTTGCATGATCCACTGGCACGTTACTAAACGTTGCCGAATGGGGTAATGTGTAGAAGTGTGTGAGTGCATCGGACATTGTTGGTTGAAGCAAAATGTCTGAAATTACCCAAAACTAGCAAGGTTTGTTGCATATAGTATGTATATAGACGATTCCATCAAAACAATCAGGCAGAATCAAATGGGCTCAGAAAGCGTTCATGTATGTCCAATAATTTAATGGCGTTTATTTATATTTATTCCTTTTTATAATTCATTTGAGTATTATTTAATTAATTTTGAGTTTAAGAAAGCGTTAATGTATGAGCAATCATTTAATTGTGTTTATCTGTATTTATATCTCATTTAATTTTGATAAATTTGTAAAAGTATTTTGCAGTTTTAAGGGTTCTTAAGGTTTGTTGTCATAAATTGTTAACTATGGATTATTAATAGATTCATTTTATGCTGATTACAACGAACTAATTGAAATAAAATAAAACCGAAAAACAGACAAGAAGGCTTGCTTTTATGCTTTGTAAATAGCTTGCTGGACTGGCAATGAAATTGTCCCCCACCGGGTTGGAGATTTTTCTCTTCCTCTTTATGCTGTATGTAGAATTAATTTTCCTTCTCTTCATTCTATTGCTTTTTAGTTTGTTACGTCTATGATGTCTCTGAATCGGAGCATAGCTGGCCAAACGGCAAATAAAATTCTCCCGACTTGTCCGAGGCATTAATAGATGTTATTGTACTGTTTTGCTTAGGCTTTCTTATCATTTATGTTGTATATATAACGATGTAATTTTACATATCTTTATTTTAATAGTTCAAATGTAATATATATCATAGTTTTTGTAAAACGTATTTACAGCACCATTTGTTGTTGTTAGCTGTTTAAAAACAGTTTTAATTATTATTCATTCCATTGCTTTAAAATATTTCTTAGTATTATTAGCCTGTATAAAAAAATCCGCACTGTTGTTGAAATAAATCATAACCATAAGCAACTTCTTTGTTTATTTTGTTTGACAACAGCAATTTTTAGATAAGAAACAAGTAAAACGCTAAAGTAGCGCCAGCTCAACACTTGTATACCCTGTTCCCTTCCTTTCTGATCAACAGACGTTCAACTAAAACATCAGCTATAATATATTGATGAAAGAGATGTGAGAAAAAAAATACAACTTTTAATACAGCAAATTATTATTATTGAAAAACAATAAAATGTTGTATATAATAATGAATATTAATATCGCTTAAGTGCCTACTGTACGGTAAGTAAATAAAAACTGACACAAATAATTCGTATGTTACATTTCTTAAAAATATATCATTAAAATTCAGCTGGCTTTGTTGATATATACAAGTATTTATTTCAATCTTTTTAGCTTTGCAGAACTTAGAACTAAGTATTTCTAAGAACGAACTCAAAGCCAAATGTAAATGAACGTCTATGTTTGGAAATCATTGAACTACATGTTAGTTGTCGAGGCATTTAAGTAAATAGAACTCTGCCAAAGGGAATTTGTTTCTTTTTGTTGTTGTTGTTCTTTACCTATTTCAGTTAATTAAAATCCAATGATTTTACCCTCTACTTGGTTTGATTTCGCTTCATTTTTGGCTATCTTTCTTTGTTTTCTTGTCCCTTTCGATTCAATGGAAAGAAAAAAAAAAGAACTTTTTCTGCACACATTTTTGCAAGCTCCTCGAATATATTTGATGCATGCATGAACGCTTGTTTGCTTAAATCTGCAATATTCCAAATATTTGTATACCTTTTCCTTTATTTTGGCTTAAAACAAAATTTGTTACGAAATTCTTGCCACACGCAGTTCATTTTTCATATGAAAATATTTTCACATATTATAAAACAAAACCAAACAGACATGTGGATTTGCGGGTTATTGGCAAAAAAAAAAATAGTTACGAAACGAAAAAGGGCTGGTATAAATCGGTTTTGTAGTTTCTTCCATGTTTGAGTATAGCTTTTAGCATTTGTAGGAAAAACTATGTGGCAAGAAATGGCTGCCCTTTACTTTATTTGCTGGTGAACTGTAGAATTTTTTGGCATTACTCAATTAGTAGCTGATTTAAGCAGAGATATTGGCTTAGATATGTATACTTGCACATTGCAGCTCGGTTACCATTCTTTCTCTGGCCCAAAATTTAGTTGCAATGATAACAATGACGACCTTCATAAGGATTGTTGAAGTTAACGAAGAATGTTGATGTTATGCATTCAAATGCTTGGAACTGGAATGAGAAGCAATAAAATAAATGTCAGATTAATATAATATTCCATATTAAGCGAAAAGCTGCAATAAACAAATATTTATAAAAATAATTTGCTACAATTCTGTAATTTAATAGAATCATAAAACGAACTTTAAACAAAAAAAATTTACTCACTACCAAAACAAACCTCATCAAATAAAAATTATATTTAATGTAATTTATTTGTTAAAAGAAATATAACTGTAACTATATACTATACATCCCACATAATTCAAAAGTTCAGTAAGATTTATCTTACTTAACTTCGCGTAAGTAACAACATTTACAAGAGTGAATACGAGAGTCCTTTAAAACTCTTATATTAACTACAGCAGAGCTAACTCTCTTTCAAAATATTACTCATCAGGCTGCATTCTGAGCCTGCGCAAACATTCAAGAACAGCAGTATAGAGAGTTTTAGGTCTTAGCTTTTGACGAAACAATCATTTGCCGATGTTGCTGGTCGTCGGCTCTCTCTGCAAAGATGTACCTCGTGGTGCCTCACGACGAGAGCAAAGTCGAGCTGAGGGCAGTTGCCTTTCAGCAGACAGCGAAGGCAAAAGCCAACGGCAAGAGCCACTGTGTCGCTTTTTGTTTAATTCCTATACCTGAATT